TAGTGCACAGCTGGAAGGAACAAGGCTTGAGAAGCTGCATGCCAAATAAGGACCAGGAGTGCCTGGCTTGTCTGCCGGCCCAGGTAATGAGCCTGGGACAAGTTACTTGCCCTTCTTTGGGGTTTCGTCCCCCCTGGCTACCTGAGGCCACAAGCAGGGACCTCTGTCTTCATATTCATCGAGAGTCCTCACTATCTTCTGCAATCACATCATCCACCTGCAGCGGGTTCCCTTCAGGGAGTTCCGTTCTCAGCGGGAAATGCTGTCTGAGTTCTGGTCTGTCCTGTTTCCCTGCCTCCATAATCTCAACAAAGAACAGAGCTTGAGTTTTGCACTGAATGGCTGGAAAGGTCGGGTCAGCTGTTTACCTGAACTGTCAGGATCCCCGGGGGCTGGCAGGAAGCCAGAAGCAGGAGTCCGCTGCCCACGCCTTCCTGCCCGGCCGTCCCACCAGGAGCTGTCCCCAGATCCTCAGCCCCGAGAGGAGAGACCCGAGAGGGCGGCTCTGACAGCAGCAGGAGAGGAGTAGACACAGGGCACAGACTCTCGGCCACCCCCAATCTCTCCAAAGTCGGGGTGAGGTGACGGGCTCCATGTGGTCAAGTTTCGAGTTCAAGGAACTATCCCAGAGATGAATGATCCTCAGCTGCCAGCCACCAGTGCCTGAAGGAGGGCCGGCTCTCTCCAAACCCTTGATGGCCTCTTTATCTACCCTGAGTCTTTATCTCTCCAGTGGAAAAATCCCCTTTCTCCCATTCCAAAGTCATTTGTTCCCTAGGGCCAAAGGCGGCTGACAGGCACAGGACTTAAGTCCCCGCCCACTTGGTCCGGTAGAGACCTGTCCGTGTTTATCCACTGCTCACGTTACCTGCGCTGTCTGGCACCTGCCAGGTGCGCAAGAGTGCCGCCACCCTTCCAACCCCCGCTCAGCCTCGGCCTCCACACCCCCACGTCCAGAGAGCGGCTGAGGACAGACAGGGAAGGAGGGGGTCCCTGCTGGTCAGGACTCAGAGCCCATGTTCTGGAGGTGACAATTGAGGACCCAGGACACACACCTCCCTGAAGGTCATGGTCCCTCGTGGGGGAGGAATGGCCACCAGGGAGATGGGGTAGCCTTGGCCCCAGCTTTACGCGTCCCACCACGTGACTTCTTTAGATCCCTGCACGTGACTCACCTCCGAGAAGTCAACCAGCATCACTGGTTGTCAGTGGAAGTCAACCAGCATCACTGGTTGTCAGTGGAAGTCAACCAGCATCACTATGGGTCATTCCAAGCCCCATGGGACCCCAGGACTTGACTGTCATTCTAGCTCAGGGCCCCTCTCTCCACGGCATGAGTGTTCTCTTTCCAAGTCCACGCCCCACGCCACATGGCCCCTGCAGGACTCTGAGCTGACACGAGCAGTGCATGTCTCTCCTCTTCCCCACTTGTCCCGGCGCCTTCTACAGCACAGGTCTCTGCCCCTGCAGCTCAGGTGTCTGAAGGTCAACAGATGTAGAAATGGGCGTCTAGGACCTCCTTTAATTATTTCGAAACTATTACAGGAAATCCTATATTATAATGAGGTCTCAGAGATGAATGAACAGATAGAATTTCTTTGCTTTTATCTGGGATGATATCAACTTAGAGAGGTAACAGTTGGTTATCCCATGCTGAACAAAAACGTCTGAATGATTTTTTAAAATTAATTTTTAGAGTGAAAAGAAATGAGCACTTAGGCTGTATAAACACAGGTCACCTGCAGCTGACACCTGGGGAGGCCCCCACCCACACAGCAAAGACCGCCAGGGGCAAAAGGGGCTCGGGAGGTGCAGGGGGTCTGGTGGCCTGTCTGGGGCTGAGCCAGTGCTCCAGCTGTGAACCTTCCGTTTCTTCCTCCCTTGTCACCGTCAAGGACTCTGACTCTGCCTTCTGGCCCTTGGGAGGCACTGGGAGCGCCGTCTGGAAATGCTAGCTGCCCCCGTATTTACACACTTTACCATACATGGGGATTGCTCAGTGCTGGCGTCAGACGAATTCCTGGGGAGCTGCGTAACACAGACACGTCATGACCATATAAATTCCTGGCGACTGGAAACAGCAGGCCAGGCGGCTCCTGTCACAACCCTGACCCCCTCTCTCCCCTCCACTCCGCCCTCCAGCCCCCACCTCCCATATCTTCCCTCCCTCCCTCCTCTCTCTCTCTCCCTCCCTCCTCTCTCTCTCTCTCCTCCAGGCTTCTTTTCTTTCCTGCAAACCTTGCCCTGAGGCTCAAACATGTATCAGATCTAGTGCCAGTGTATCCACTGGGGCCTGGGAACTAACTTCAGGGGTCACCTCTCCTCCTCCCTGGCCATGCAGCAGAGTGAAAACCTAGACGTCATGAGTTCTAACCCTGCTCCGACCACCTTAAAACCGCCAAAGCCACTTCTTCCTTAAACAGTTTATGAGCCGCTGTAAAGCACCTTATTATAGAGCTGACAAACAGGCAGATATTTCCCTAGCAGTTGATCTGGAAAAAGGAAGTGTAGAGAAAGTGCAAAGAGAAATAAGGTAGTGACTGAGCGTGGGTTTTAGAAGCAGTCAGCCCGACAAGACAAGACGTTTGAACGGCAACTCCGCAGCCGACCAGCTGCAATCGCAAGCCACCACCTCTGAGCCTCAGTTTCTCCATCTACAAAATGGACAGCATCCATATCTACCTCATAAATTGTCCAGGATCAAACACGTGACGAGTTTAGCCCAGTGCCTGGCATGCAGCAAGTGCGGATATCTGCTTACTATTATCTTAAGGAAAGGCCAACTTTTTACACTCACTGTTCACTTTCGTGTCTTTTGTGATACTTGCCAACATGCCTGAGCAATGGTAAATGGCAGACTTGGAGGAAAAGGTCTTTTCATTCTCACAAGCACCTCTTAGGATCTCAAAACGTTTAATGCATGCCTCTTTATAGTCCTCTAGCAAGCCAACTTTTCACAAAAAGCTGGGCTTACATAAACATCTAAAACTTTAGCAACTTACCAGAAAAGCCTTCCCAATTTTTTTTCCCTTTCCAGGAGATTCACAGTGAATAAAAACTATGCCTTTTTCCTCTCACCTGCTCGTCAGTCTATCCACACGGTACACCAGTCACTATTTGCAAGGCTCACGAATGTGCAGGAGAGCAACTCAGCCAAAAGCCTGCTGCCGCCCCAGTAAACGTTCACCAAATGTTTACCGATCATCAGTCAAGTGTCACCACACTCCCAGGCCGCAACTCTGACCCAGTGAGGACTTGCCAGCTCCAGAGGCAAATGTGTGCAATTAAAAAAGCAAACTACCTGGGCCAGGAAGGAAGGCGCCAGGGCACACCAGAAGCAAAGAGGCCACAGCACCTTTGTTTTTCTCGTTTTGTTAGCCAACCAGTTGCAGAGCTGGTGGGCATCCTCCCCAGACCCTCCGTACTGGGCATGTACTGGGCATCTCGGGACTTGCAGACAGTGCTCCCCTCCCACTCTCCGGCCCACACCACACCCTCTGCAGGGGAAACTTCCTTCCCCGCCTGACTGCCCCTGCCCCGGATATCCTCTCCAAGGCAAAGGGTCATTCACTGGGAGACGGTGAGCAGCAGCAGGCTGGATTTAGACGACGATGGGATGAAAGTTGCCCAGCAGCAGTGGAGGGCTGAGCATGGACCTTAAGACCAGCTGCAGAGTCAGGGGGCGGCCGCTGAGCAGGAGCAGGGGAAGCTCAGCCCCCTGTCCCCAGTCCCACGTGGGGGAAGTCCTCAACCTGCACTCTGAGAGGACAGAGAGAGGCAGCTGGCACTTCCAGCCTCCCCACGTTCCGGGAAAAAGGGTAAGGATGTGGAGAGGACAAGGAAGAAGACAGTGACTGAGAACTACTGCCTCCTGCACTACATTCCCCAAGTACCACCCCTGAAAGAAGTTGAGAAGTGGAGTCACTTGTCCAAGGAAATTTGTGTATTAAGTGGCAAACCCAGGAGTCACAACTTTGCCTCCCAAACAGTCTCTCACCAAGACTCCAGGCCACCTCTTGCTGATATACTTTCTCCCAGAGCCCAGTGGATTGCCCCAGTGCCACTGGTGACAGTATACCAAGGCGGGGCCCTGTCATCGAGCGGAGGGCCTGCCCCTTCATTCACCCCAAGGGAGCAGGGGATGGGTGGCTGGAGCCCAAGGCTCTCTGGAGCCCTGAGCCCAGGCTAATGCTCCCAGCCTGGACCCACAGCCTGATTAGATTACAACAGCACCCGCGCCAGGAGCCTGGGGAGTATTCTCAGGCCTGTGCCCACAGATCAAATACCTGCTTTCAACTGTGCTCAATACCTGCCCCTCTCTGCTCCCCAGCTTGCAAGGGCGGAGACCACAGAACATCAACTGCAGGATCTTCCAGGTTCCTGCAGTGGGGCCATCTAGGACAGAGACTTGGGGAGGGGGTAGGTTTCCATCAAGCTCTTTCAGAAGAAGGAAGTCGCCACACCTGCACCCAGGGGCACAGATGCCCAAGGCCAGACCCGTGAGCCAGATGTTTCCCCCTCCCCCCGCCCCCCCCTTCTGCGTTTGCTCCCAGAGCGGGAGGGTGACGCAGGGGTGGCACGGATGCACTCATCTCTGTCACACAATGAGCGTCAGTGGCTGCAGAATCGCCAATTGTTCTGCCCGACCTGCAGGCGGCGGGTGGCGGGGAGCCGGGTCGCCCTGGGTCAGGGGCACGCGGAAGCCAACTGTGTCCAGGAAGCTCCGGGTGGGGAGGGACCGACCCAGCGCCTTCTGGAAAGAGAAGCACCGCCCAGGCTGACGGTGGCCATTTCTCCCTACTCCTTGCCCGCGACGGCCCCCAGGACCCCGCCACTTTCCCTCCAACTTTCCTCGCAGCTGCCAGGGGCGCGGCGCGGGGGAGAGCCGAGAGCGCAGGCGGTGCCCAGGCGCCCTGCGCGGGCGCGCGGGGCAGGGCCGGCGACCTCGGGCCGGTGGCGGCGGGCGGGAAGCCGGCGCGGCGCGGCACGGGCGCACTCACCTGGCGGCGGGCTCGGCGGCGCGCGGGCGGCAGGCGCTCTCGGAAGTGGCTGCTGGGTGCGCCCGGCCCGCGCGCCGTTTTGTTCCGCTCCGGGGAAGGCGTGTCCCCCGCCACGCCAACCAGTGGGCTTTGCACACCGCACCACACCAGGGCTGATGTCATGGCGCGGAGCCCCGCGGCGCTGCCCCCCCAAGACGCGGGACCGCCCGGGCGGCCGCCGGGCAGGGGCGCGAGACACCTCCTCCGGCGTGCCCGGCGCCCGCGCTGCGGTCCCACTGTGTGCCCTGTCGCCGCCGCCTCCCCCGCCGCGCGGAAAGGCTTTGCACTTGCCAGGGAATTTTTAGGGTGTTCCTGCTGGGCCAGGAGATAGGACCCGTGGTAAACTTGTGCCTCTAGGGAAAGGGGGGTGTCCCGAATTTGTGGGTCCTGGTGGCAGGGTAAGGGATACACCCTGGGCGCCAGAGTCAGACCGATCCTTACAGGACGGGTCTGATCCTGCCCATCCACTCGCCAGCTGCGCCCGGCCTCCACACTTGGCCTCCACACTCAGCCCCTCTGGGCTGCAGGTTCCCGGTGAACGGCGAATAACCCACAGGACTGTGGGGGGTGGGCCAGGAGGTGAAAGGAGATCCCAGGGGACCCGCAGACCTTCCGCAGCACCCACCATAGGACAGACAGTAAACGTGACTCCCTCTTCCAACAGCTCTCATCCCCTCGGCTTTCCCCAGTCTTCCCTGCCACCCAAGGGAGAATATCTCCTCTCCCCCCACCCCCAAGCAGCAGTTCTGAAAAGGGGCCTCCAACCCTACAGCGTGATGGACACAGGCTCAGGCCGCTCCAAGCTGCCCTGGGGCAGTTAGCGGTAGGCAGGCCACCCCACCCCTCACCCGGTTCCCAGCCCTCCCGAGGGCCTGGGGCGGAATGTGAGAGGGCAGAGAAGCCCGCACCCCATGCAGCGGCTGCCCAGACAAAGGAGACACCCCACCCCTTTCCTGGCAGGGAAAGAGCCCAGAAACGAAATGCCCTAGGAGGAGAAGGAGCATCCCCTCCCCCCCCCAGGGTCCAGGTAGAGGGACAGAGACAAGCTTTAAAGGAAGGTACCACTCTCTCTTCCTCCTCCCCACCTCCCAGTCCTGCCCTGCTCCAAGCAAGGAGCACAGCCCTTTGTTTGGGACTTGTGAATTTGGGTTTGGGGACACTGCAAGACAGACTGATGCTCCCAGGAATAGGAGAAGCAAAGAAAGGGTGACAGCCTCTGGGAAACAAAGCACTAGCTACTAGCTTGTAGTCTTTTGTGACTTGTCCTCTTTATTTCTAAGACCCAAGGGAAGCAAGGGGCTGGTATTGTGTTTTATTCTCGAGGGTTGAATTACATTATTTTCACCTCATACAGGCTGTGACGGGAAATGAACCACACTCAGATCTTGAATCTAAATTTCAGTGTGATTGTGTGTGTTGTATCGGGGTGTGTGTGTGTGTGTGTGTGTGTGTGTGTGTGTGTGTAATTTTCTACTGCGTTTTTGCCGTCTAGAGCAATCTCAGAAGGAAGCACTGCGGCCTGCCCATAGCAGTTAATTGGGGACGAGGCCCTGGAAGGTCACAGGGCAGCTGGTCACCCACCTCACCCCAGGTCACCCATAGATAGAGCTGTCACTTCTTCCGCCCCGGGCAGGTGTCAGGGCTAAGGCCCCCACAGGCTTCACTTAAAGCCCCAGTTTGCTGAATTCACTTTCTTCCAGGAATGAAGTTAAGCATCTTATGATCCAGATGATGAAGTATTTACAAGGGTTGTTGTTGCTTTCTACCATAAAAGAAGAAACATCTTTCCTTCTGCCAGGCCCATCATATAAACAAGGCCCTCCAAGAGTGAAATGTCTATAAGCGCCCAACCAGTGTTTCCGGCAGACTGGGCCATCTTCATCTGACCCGACTAAGATGTAGGAGCAGAAACCAGAAGAATTCCTGGTCGTTCCTGCACGGAGCAAGCAATAGATAAACAGGTGCATGAAATAGTAGAACTGCAATCACTGTCAGAGACCACGGTCTTGCTGCCCAAAGGTAGTGATCACACGGATTTCCCCTCTCCCTGCAGTTCTTAGTCTCCTGGCGAGATGAGTGTTGGAGTTTCACCCAAAATCTTACAACAGGGCAAACTCCTCCTGCATTTCCTTCTTTGGTCTGGGTCTGTCTTCTCTGGAGTTGTGGGCTTGTTGATAGATTTCCCTGTGAGGACACGCCAACCTGAGCTGTGACAGGTCCTTAGGGAAGGTCCAGGACAAGGAGAGCAATAGCTGCAGTCACCCCTGGATTTCCCCCAGAGGGTCTTAAGGCGCCTGGTAAATAGAGTGGCTGTACAGTAATCGTCCAAACCGGAATGCTTTTGAGAGGAAGTGGCATAATGCAGTGTTCATAACTACACCAAGGCAGCAGGACAAGCTCAGGCAATCCAGGTCACGTGGTCACCTCGCTTGTTCACCCCAAGACTGTCACTGCACCTGTCTCAGGAGCTGTCTAGGCAGAGCTGCAGCTAAGGAGGCCAGCCTTTCCCTGTGTAGGACCTCTCTGCCTGCTGTTTTTCCAGAACTTCACACCTGTTGGTCACGTTGCCCTCCCTGCACCCTGCCAACCACTGGAGTTTGGGCTTAGCCCCTCTGCAGGTAAAGGGGACTCAGGGGGTTAAGGAAGGACTCTGGGATTGAGCCAAGTCAAAGGTGATGCTGGCGTTATCCACAGGCAAACAGGCGCACGCCTGATGTCGAAATCACAGAGAGGCCACAATACTGGGGACATCCTTAGTGCAGAGACGCTCGCTCTGGCTGACCTCACTTGCTTGCGTAACTGTGCGGGGCCTGGCTCCCCCAGCCAGCAGCACCCGCGCCTGCAGAGATGAGCCCGAGCTTACACCAAGAGATCCTCTGCTGGGGGTTCTAGAAGGAGGCCTGGCACACTTAGTAACTTGGCTGCTTCTCTAGACCCTTGAAAACGTCTAAAGTTCTCAGTATCCTCATGTCCTCTCTGTGCATTCTACTCTGCACTGCCTCTGGGTGGGCACGTAATGGCTAGCCCTGCCAAAGCACGCAGGGGCGGCGCCGGCAGGCAGTGGGACCCCTGCCCTCCGACTTCCTCTGCCGCCTTCTCTGGCATCTTCACTTCTTTTTCCTCCCTCACCAGCATTCGGCTGTCACATCTTCCCTCCCCCTTACTGCTGCAAAATCTTTCTTTTCCCCATTGATGCCAGGTGAGGGGGCTCTGAATGTGAGGCTGAGGGAAGGGTACAGCAGTGTGGCTGCTCTAGCTCTGCCCACCACCCCAGAGATGTCAGAGATCCAGCCCGGGCCAGAGATTTCTCACGTGCCCACTCACCCATCTGTCCCTCCATTCACCCATCTGTCCGTCTGTCCCTCATCTGTCCGTCTGTCCCTCCATTCACCCATCTGTCCTTCTGTCCCTCTATTCACCCATCTGTCCATCTGTCCCTCATCTGTCCGTCTGTCCCTCCATTCACCCATCTGTCCGTCTGTCCCTCCATTCACCCCTCCATTCACTCATCTGTCCGTCTGTCCCTCCACCCATCCATCATCTGTTCATTCATCTCCCCATCGCCCATTCACTCAGCAGACATTCATCCAGGCCCTACTCTATGCTGGTTAGGTTCCATAGGTTCTGGGAATACAGGGGAAGAATGTAACCTGGATCCCGGCCTTAAGGAATTTACAGTCTAATGAGTAAACCAATCATCATCAGGGAAGGTGATTGAGAGTCGGCCAGGAAGCAAGGAGAAGGGGCAAAATCTTGGAACAGCATTATTGAACCAGGGAACTGCAAGTTCTTCAGCAAAGCTGACACCTAGGATGAAAGAGAAGGTTCCATGAGAGACGGACCTGGCAGGTAGAGAGCAACCAGAAGAACAAGGCAGACACTGTAAGCTATTTGGGGGGGGGGGACGGTTCTGAGGGCCGTGGGAGTATTGAAGGATCTTAAACAGGGTAATGGCATGGTCAGTCTAAAAAGCATTTTAGGCAGATGACTATGACTTCCTGTGAGGCTAGATGAGACCCAGGAGTGAGGGGAGCCTGGGGGGGGGGTGGTATTTGATTATTGCAATAGTCCGGGAAATAGATGCTGACTGGCAGTAGCCCTGGGGATGGAAAGCAGGCGATGAACTTGAGAGTTATTGAGGAGGAAGAATCTGCTGGACTTGACCCGTTGTCTTCTGGGCGTGGAGTGCAGAGGCAGCAGAAAGGGGGAGAAGAATGAGGAATGGCTCCTCATTTCTGGGTTGGGCAACTCACTAAGGTAGGTAATTTAGGACCAGCTAGCTGCAGCTGAGGGGCAGAGGGGGACGATGGATTTAGTGTCGTTGGCTTTGAGATGCTTGTGGAACCTCCCAGTGGAACTTTCCAGTAGGCAGTAGGACATAGAGCGAAAGAGGGGCCAGGGCTGGAGATAGAGGTTTGAGGGTGTTCAGTCTAGAGAGAGCTTGAGAAGAGGAGCAGGCTCAGGACACCAAGGGACATTATTTACACGTACCGTGTTTCCCCCCAAACATAGACCTACCCATAAAATAAGCCCTGGCAGGATTTCTAAGCATTTGCACAATAGAAGCCCTGCCCCGAAAATAAGCCCTAGTGACAGGCGTGGCTACACAGCGCATGTGCACAACCTATGCATGTCTTCGAGGAGCGGGAAAGAAGACGAGCAGCCCTTCTCATCTGCCCCATCCGGACAGCGACTACCCCAGAGGTGACCGGAAAGGTGCAGGCAGCCCCACCAACAAGGTCGGCTCCCCCTGTCAGGTCCCGGCCACCCTGTGCGTGCTGCAAGCTGAGGCTTTGAGGGGAAAATAACACGTCCCCTGAAAATAAGCCCTAGGGTGTCTTCTGGAGGAAAAATAAATACAAGACCCTGTCTTGCTTTCGGGGAGACACGGTAGCTGAAAGACCACAAAGGAAACTGAGCAGGAATGGTCAGAGGTGGGCAGGGAGAAGACTCACGGTGTGGAGGCCAAGGGAGAGAGCGTTTGGAGGACATGCACCCGGGTCTCATTGCTGAGCCATACCACGGGAGGGCTGGGAGGGGGGTGGTGCCGGGGAGAAAGTGACCGGTGCCACCGAGAAAGGCAGGGTTGGCAGGTGAAGGCATTTAGGACTTCTTACTAACGGAGCACTGATCCCTTTCGTGCCAAAGCGT